AGAGAGAAAGAGAGAAAGAGAGAAAGGGCGCAGGGGCTGGGAATGGATCCCCAGACCTGCCATGCCTACCCCACCCCCAGGGCGTGCTGAGACAGCAGTTGAGACTGGGCGTGGTGGCACGCACCTGTAATCTCAGCACTTGGGAGGCTGTAAACAGACAGATCACTATGAGTCCGATCTAGTAGTGAGACCCTGAACACCCTGTAGACCCTTCTCTAAAATATATATATTTTAAAAAAGAAAAGAAAAAGAAAGCCCGAGTAAATAAAAATGAATTTGTGCATTTACCTGTTCAGCCGGACTTTTGTGTTTTCCTACCTGCATTGCCAGTTCTGGATTTATGTAACCATTTTTAACTTTTTCAATAGAACCATACTCGTACATTCCATCTGATGACAATGGGGAACTTCCGGAGGTTTGTTGGGGAGAAATGTCTTTTGCAAAATCTGTAAGTGGGACTTCAGGTATACTGCACAGATGAATAATAAAACAGAAAGTAAGCATCAGGGCAGTGAAGAAGAACATGACTTGAAATTCTGTGCCTAGCACTCTTCCCAGTTCCAGATGGGCCCAGTCTATGGCACCCAAGATGTAACCCAGGGCACCACCAAAACCTGGAAAATAAAAACAAAACAGATCTGAATTAGCATGTTTAGCAAATCATCTTCCTTTTTCTATCACACCTAAGCTCTCCAGTTTAAGAGAAAATCTCTTTTGGCCCAGAGAAGGCAGCATGAATATGACTGGAGGAGCCATTGCACAAGCTTTGACCCTGCAGCCAATCAGCATGGGTTCAAAGAGCAGCTCTAACATTTCTGTGCTACACTTGGGGCTTCCTTATCTAGAGTATGTGGGTAGCAGTAAAAAAAACAAGTAGGGACATCATTTCAAAATGAAAATTATTCAGAATAGTGCTAGACACAAAACAACTGTTCAGTGCATTACTACCTCAGAAAAACTGACCTTTCCAAACTGTACTTTAACTTAAGTTGCCAACTTAAGAGTCCCAAAGTAAATTAATCCCTAGAAACAACAAAATTAAAATTTCTTATAGTTACTTATTTATTATTAAGCTTCTTAAGATCTGTACACTAGTTTGCAATGAAACAGCCCCGAAAGCTATCTTCTTTCTGTGAGAGTTCTACGTACTTGTTCATAGTTTATAGCTAGAATAGCAATGATGAGAACAAAAGATGAAGAATGAACTTTTTTAGAACCCTACTATCATCTTGTAAGACTCCAACCTGAGGTTTTTTGATTCTTGCTTTTTTCCCTTGCTTAAACACAGCGCCGCTGCACGGACACTGAGGCCAGGCTCCTCAAAATCAACCCCATGCTATTATCTAATATTTGAAATACATCATCAGTGATTTGTTCTTTAAAGTCCTCATTTCAAAATTGAAGTGTTCTGGATAGGGAAGGATGTTACCCTACTCAGCACCAAAGTACAAGCGCTATTCACATGTTTCTGCCAGTGAAGTGTCAGTGACTTCTGAGAACACCAGGCCAAAGGGGACATACAAAGAAGTGGAGCACATCCAGGAAATCAAAGCATTGAAAGTCAAACATAGCTTCTACATACAACACAACCTCGTGTAGGTCTGGTCCTGCTGTTTAAAACATTTCAATGTCAACTTTCCAGATTGCTTTACCAAATACAAATGACCTACCTGAACGGATTAGTTTTTATTCTTTTTTGTGATTAATATCCCCATTTCATTTCCCAGATAATGACTAAACTCAAGGAGTTGTGTCTCTAACTCTAAAAACCAAACTTTTCTAAATTTAACCTCAAAATACAAAACCAGCTCTTAGTATCAGGAGTCCTAATTTACCCAAAATGTGGGAGAATGGTTGATTTTTGGCTACTTCACATTCCCCTTAGTCGGAATTTCATATGGAAACCACAGATGACCAACTCTCTAATCACTGGGTTGCAAAACTTAAGCATCATTTTTATGACCTGAGTGTTGATCTGAGGACAGAACTTTGGAAGGCTGTGGGCAATGGGAAGACTGAGCATGGTGGTGCATGCCTGTAATCCCAGCCCTTGGGAGGCTGTAACAGGCGGCTCACTATGAGTCCAATCTACTAGTGAGACCCTGAACACCCTGTAGACCCTTCCCTAAAATACAAAAAAGAGAGAGAGAAGGTGGGCAATGGGGTGCAATGAAGAAATATGTTCTCTGGATGCAAAAAATATGAAGCTTAGTTATGGGTGATGGACAAATACCTATAACTGACAAGTATGGTGGAAAACCCAGGATCTGAGAGGGAGTGGAAATTCTAGAGCAGACCAGACTTTGCCACTGACTCAGAGGAGAGATTTGGGACTTGTACCCATGGATATCATAACACATAACACTGTTTACCCACCTATGGAGATGCAGAAGCTGTCAGAATTCATGTGTCAAGCTTAGCAATTAATAAAAAAGAGTGTGTTAAAATGTTCTCCTTCCTGTGCCTGTTATGTTAACCAAAAATGTACTCAGATGTTGTCAAATGCCATTAGGAGAGGGTGTGAAAGGGCCCCCACTTGATAATATCTGACTGAAATCCATCCTGTCTCTTCCTAAGTGGCTTCCTCATTAAATAGTTGCCTAAAAATCTTCCCATTAGCCATTTCCCAGGGAAATAGCTCAGTAGAATAAGTGCTTGCCTGGCAAGCAAATCTTCCCATTGTCTTCCCTTGAGTGGCTTGGGCAGATACCTTTTTGTGTGTCCTGAAGCAACTGTGGAATGTAGCTACTATTTCCAATAGTGTAACAAGGTATACCTGGAAGGTACTTCCTAGTGTATCACTAAGGAAATCCGTGCAACATAATGTTTAAATGCTTGAAGGAAACATTCAAGCTCTATCTATTTATACAGTTAGACATGCCAATGCAGAGTTATGGAAATTCATTAAAGCTTTTTCTGTTTGCTTCCTGTACTCAACTTAAGGATTTCCATTTTCTATTTTCTAAAATAGTCTTTCAAAGTGTAATCACATTAGCTGCAACCAAAGTTAATCATTTTAATATTTCGCCACCTCCTGCATCTACCTCCAGACCTTATTTATTCCTCTTGCTAACATCATCTTCTTTTGGATCAATGTCATCAATCTTCAGGCTACTGGACAAGACATAAGTTGGACTACCCAGAGATATCTGCTGCCACATTAGACAACAGGCTTTTATAAAGAAGAGCCCATGAGAAGCCCTGCTGGCCCGTCCTCACAGAGTCAGGCTGTGTGGCGAACTCAGACCAGAGATGACCTCAAGAGGATGAGATGCTTCAGCAGATAGATGTTTTATTTCATAATTTACGCTACAATTTAACAAACAGCTCATCCTAGAAATCCAACTGCATGGAAATATGTAGATTATTTTTTCTTCCATCCAAAACTATAGTAGGTCAGATGAGAGGGCTCTTAGGACCAAGGATTCTAATGGAACAAGAACCCAAAAGTGCATCCAGGCCAGTGTCTCCACTTAACAGTGTTCCTGCCATTGCCTCACTGTATCATGTGTGTGATGTCAGCAGCCCAACATGGGTGGAGACACAGCCCAAGTCACTAAAGCTAGCAGTGCATGGCAGGTTACTTTCTGTCCAAGGAAGACAGAGCAAAGCTCCTCTGTGCTGCCATGGATCTTCACCAGAAGATAACTCTTATTACTCTCTGCCCATCAGAAAATAGCAATGAAGGGCTGCTCAAATAGCTCAATGGATTAAAGCACTTGCTTAGGCAGACACAGGGACCGGGGTTCAATCCCCATTGTGCTGTGCTGGCCCTGCCCCAGTGGCACACCGAGACAGCAAATGAGACTGGGTATGGTGGCACGCACCTGTAATCCCAGCGCTTGGGAGGCTGAAAACAGGAGAATCACTAGAAGTCTGATCTGTGTTGTGAGACCCTGTAGACCCTGTACTAAATACATTTCTTTAAAAAAAAAGAAAATAGCCATGAAAATGTCAGTATAAGGATGA